CACCGTCATCCACACCGGTCTAGAGCCCAGCTCAATAATCACCGATATCTACTACGGTCTAGAGCCCATCTCAATAATCACCGTTATCTACTACGGTCTAGAGCCCACCTCAATAATCACCGTTATCTACATCGGTCCAGAGCCCAGCTCAATAATCACCGATTCTTTACAATTCAATTTCTTAGGATCCATTCATCCATTATTCAACTACAATTCCAACTAATATTTCAATACTAGTTATTTACTCATTTCAATATAATTCTTCATTCAATATGTAATTTGGCCTTAATATCAAAATATCACTTTTATTCTTTCATGGCTTCTTCTCATGAAATAAAAGCATACTTATCACAAATGGGGTTTATGGTTGATACTACTATCATGCCATCATATTCATAACATATAAACATACACAATTTATTCAATAAATTTGTATATTATGCAAACTATACTTATATTCAATAGTAATTTCATTTAGGCGTTATTAACCATTAATAATCCATGCAAATCACATTGTGTATTCATTTAGGAAGTCTCATGAAATTACCAAAGATTATAAGCAATATAGTCGGTCATCCTCACCTTAAGTGAGCTTAAGTGCGTTCTACGCTCCTCGGTTGAACTTTGACTAATTCCGGTGAACTTTGACCAACTCCGGCGAACTTTAACCAACTCCGGCGAAGCTCAAAAATACTTTAATCAAGTTCCTAACAAGGTTTTAACATCATAAAACCTTAATCAATACAAATAACCTCTAAAAGGTTATTTTCCGGTGAACTTGTCGGTTTGGCTCCTAAGTCCGTTTTTGGAGTTAGAACCACCTTCCAAACCATCATTCCACACTCATAACATGTGAAACATTCCCAAGGATTCTTCATGTGATATATAACTCATATGATAATTAAGGGATAGAGGAAAAGTTATTATAAGGTCATTACCTTAATCCACATAGTTTTTCCTCCTAAAAACCTTTCCCTTGTACCTTCTTGAGCTTGGGCTTGTGCTTGGCTATGGAGGGTGCAATTTTCTGGGATTTCCTTCTTCTCTTTGGAGTATGGCCGAGTGGATGAAGGAGGAAGGAGGTGGGTGTCTCTTTTGTCTCAATAGTATGAGTGGTGTGGGAGAGGCTCACCTTAAATTTGTTTGATTCCTTTCCAATCACCTCCTACTCCCTCCCATACCCCTCCATCCGACCAAGCCTCCTAATGGAGTGTCCAAATTCGTGGGTTGGCCCCCACCCATGTGAGAGGTCAACTCTTTTTGTCCAAAAGTGTACAATTTGTCCCGAAAGTTGTATTTTTCGGACTGTTTTAAATAAAATTTATTTTATCGGGCCAAATAAAATATATTATGTGTTCTTAGTCATCATGACATCTAGAGTGAATATACATTCCCCAACTTTAATTTATAAGTCTCCGAAATTCAATTTTGAGCTTTTATCGGTTAAACTACCAATACCGATATTTGGGCTTCTTTTGACCAATCGGTCAACTCTGGACCTTTCCATGGTTCAAATGAAGTACCCACCACTATATAAATATTATCTTGACCAAGATAAATAAAATATATGGTTTCGGGAATTTCGGGCGGCCCCCGCTCCCGGTGTGGGCCCACGTGCGAGTTTACTATTCAAGCAAAAGAATTAATAAGAATTCACAACTTCGTATACTCATTAACCATTCCATAAGGTTCAATACATTATTCACTTAAAAGTAAATACATTTGGGGACGGTGTTACAGCTCCACCACTTCGACGAGCTCAACGACGACAGGCAAAATTGGAAGACAACGGCGACGGGCACAGGGTGATACTCCACTTTGGCGAGATCGGCCAACAACGATGATGATATTCCTTCTCCGTGCCTCTCCTCTGGAGTTGTTCACCCATTACTGGCGGCGACGGCGTAATATTGGGGGGTGAACACGGTGGGCTAGGGTTTCAGGCTGTTGGGCTCGCCGTTGCTGGATCTGGACAGCTAGGTTTTCAGGCCGTTGCTCCATCGCCAATTTGAGATCTTGGCCAATGGTTTGCTGATTTGGGGCTAATTAACAGTGAGCTGAGTTGTTAGGCCGACAGTAGTGCGATTAAGATTCGACGGCGGCAAAGTTTGTGGAGTGACTAAGGTGGCGATAAGGTTTGTGGAGACTTTTGCCCGGCTTCTAGAAAGGGAAGTATGGCGAGTGGGCTGGGGGATAGGGCTGGGCTGGTGAGGTGGGACAGGGCTGTGCACAGGGTGGGGGTGGAGTGGAGTGGTGGGCTGGTCGGGTTATTGGTCACAGGTCGGGTAATTGGTATTAGCAGGAATAGCAGGTTGGTCATTGGTTGGTTTGGTCACGATCACTGATCGGGTTGGTCACTGATTGAATGGATCATGGTCATTAATTGGATTGGTCACTAATCGGATTGGTCATGGTCATTAGTCGGGTTGGTCACTTGTCGGATTGGTCATGGTCACCGATCGGATTGGGCATGATCATTGGTCGGGTTAATCACTAGTAGGATTGGTCACTGGTAACTGTAATTAGTCGGACTGGGTAACTGTAACTAGTCGGATCGGGTAACTGTAACTGGTCGGACCAGGTAACTGTAACTAATTGATTCGAGTCACTGTAACTGGTCAGACCAGGTAACTGTAACTGGTCGGATCAGATAACTGTAGCTGCTTATATCAGGTAACTGTAATTGGTCAGATCAGATAACTGTAACTGGATTGAGTCTAATAATTGTAACTGGTCAGATCGGGTATCTCTAACTGATTGGGTCATATTGGTTAACTGTAACTGATCGGGTCAGATTGGGTAACTGTAACTATAACTGGGATCATTTTCACACAAATTATAGTGTCAAAAATTAAATATTTAATACACATATAATTCCATATCCAATTACATAATGTATCTCCTAAGAAATGAGAAATAAGTTTAAAATAGAAAAGAAGCATTAATGATTAGTTGATTAGAGAATGCATTCTTACGGAATACAACAACATTAAGGCAACAACATTACGGAGTGTCTAAAGCAACGCCGAAACAAGGTCCCTTATTTGGAAATTAAGAAACAAGGTCCCTTTTTGTCCATTACCTATTTTTAGTAATATTAGAGTCAAAACCCTTTTTTTATTCGGTTTTCGATTTTCGGTTTTACAGACCCACCTTTATTCTCTTCTTATACTAATACAAAAGTATAATTAATGATTTAAAGTAGACTTCTAGAGACCACACATTTTAGAGTAGTTCTAGAATTTATTTGTTCTACACTTTTCTACTCCTTGGGTTCTTTCAAACACCAGCTTAAATATGGAGTATATAGTAATTAGGTTCAAAAACAAATTTAATTTTCAACATTGATGTAAGGATCCTATACCAGCTCAGACCTCAATCACCAACAGCCCGATGGGCCAGCTCACATTCACCACCAAGATTACAGTCAGGGAAGATGAAGGGCACCAATCATTATCTACTCTCATATGGTACCCCAAACCCCCAGACCACACCCAGAGAACCCACCCGAGAAGAAACCCCCACAACCCAACCAGAGTGAAGCCCAACTAAGGGTTCCCAAGGTATCACCGGAGGCTGGCCGGAGCACAACACACAGATGACACAGACTCTCTCTCTCTCACTCTAGGAAAGGGGAAACACACTGAGAGACTCACAAGGGAGGGTCAAATAGGAGGTTCTGGAAACAACCAGACAATATAAACAAGGGCCACACAGAGTCACGGGCTGGGTATCGGACAAAGGGGCGGATGGGCTTGGACAGGCACACATGCCATAATTGGGCCGGGGCAATTAATAGGAGACCAAGCTATTAAATGGGGTGGACCATGGACAACACGGGAATGGATCAAGCCAAGACAGGTGGGCCAATACCATCAACAATTGACAACCTATCCTGAAACATGTGACCAATTTATTGTAATTCAGTGAAGAAAGAACACCACCGAATTTGTGAAAGTAGATTAAATAAGAATTCTCAAGTAAATAAACGACAAAATAAATGTTAAGAAAACAAAAGCACAAATGCTAAATAATCTGCAGAGCTGGAAATTGGATTCAAAACTTACCCAATATATATATACAAATACTGCTAGCCTCCATGCCAGAGCCCAGAGTGCATATTTTATGGATCGGAAGAGGAATGAGGTCAAGTGGAATTAATGATGTGTCGAACATCTGCATTGATGTTATAATAACACCAATAGGGAAATAAAAGCCTGAGAAACATACTTGCATGAAGGCTAGAGCTAGATGCTCCATATAATATAATGGCTTCAACCCGCTAAAGATGGTCACTTTTTTTCTTACAGCTTAGGATGATGAGGTCTTTTGAAGAGTCAGAGCTGAGCCGAGGAAGAGTAGCTAGCTAACTAATGAAACTGTTTAAATTAAAGCACATTTAAGGAAACCAAAAAATTCACTTTTAAAGTCTAAACCTCTACAAGATTATTGCTTATTAATGTTAGTCAGAATGCCAGATCATTTAATTTAATTTTATGGGAAAGATATGGATACTCAAAAGCATTAAATAGCACCAATCGAATCTACGTAGTGTATAAGGATGTTTTTACTTGGACTGTAATTTGCCCCAGACCAGACCAGACCAGACCAGCTCAGACCAGACCAGACTTGGATAGTTATAAAAATACAAAGAAACCAGATCTTACAAGACCAGACCAGACCAGACCAGTTCAGACCAGACCAGACCAGATCAGACCAGACCAGACCAGCAAATTACAGTCCAAGTAAAAACATCCTAACTGCACCATAAGAATCCAGATATGGTAGTTATGAACGTTGTGGTCTTGAGAGTGAATATTGACATCTTGAAGTACCAATATTTTTTTAATCATAAGAAAAAGTACGCACAGATATTCTGAAGCAATTCAAAGCCTATCAAAGACTGCATTTTTGCTTATCACCATCCCTCCAACCCACTTCACGTGGAAAGTCAAGACATTCGACATAGAAGGAAATACAAAAAAAGCCATAACAATCAACACCATCGGATACAAGGAACTTCGTCTCTTCTAGCTTCTCTTCTTTGATATCATACACACATGTTCTCCCGATATAGCAACCCTTCATTAATACCTTCCCATTATGAGAGAAAAACTCGAAGTTGTAAAGCTCACGTACTCCATGTTCGTATAAGGTGATAACAAAGTATGTGACCCATGACTCTTGTTTTCCATACTCTTTCATAACTGATACATGGATCAGCTGGCTCTTTTTGTCCCCCCGAGCCATGCAAAAACATCCATCTATAATTCCCGTACCTTCTATGCTATCTTCTTCTTTTGGATTGATCCGTGTAGGAGAGGGCAATATCTTGAATGTGTCATCAACCGGATCGAAATAAACTATCTTATTGCACCCAGAACAGTAGTCCCATTTTATTTGATCATCGCTCTTTCCCCAAAAGAGTTTTATGTCACTTACAATCCAATGGAGTGTATTGTTAAAACTGACTCCGGCTCGAGAAGTGGCAAAGTTATAGGGGAAGGGCACTTTTCGCCAACCTTTATTTTTGACGCTTGAAACAACAAACTGACCACTATGGTCAGTGGCCGGATAAAGCAATAAGACAACTTTGTACTCTGACGTGTATGGATCGTAACACAGCCCTCCGACCACAGTTTGGTCATAATGTCGGAGGTTTCGAAGTTCAAGAACTTTGGTAGACCAGCCTATATGTGGGTTCCACAACACAATGTGTTCTCCAAACCCAAGCAGCACAAACCCATTGCATGAATCCAAAACCCTCAACCAACGGTCATTTAATACAGACAAATATGCACTCTCATTGAACTCAGACATGCGTTGAGTGAGAAGATCAGGGCCTGTTGTCATGGATCTCAACTCCGTCTGTTGTCCTGTAACGGCTCCAGAGGATGTGAATGCGTGGTTGCCCGGTAAAGGTAAGCTTGATGGACTCTACGAAAGAATACCACTCTTTACTCACACATTGGGCGATGAACAGATGCTTTCGCTCCAATCTTAACAAAATATCGCGGCTGATCTCTGATGGTAGGGTTGAAACTGGGTCATGGATCTTCATGTTAATTAAATGCTTCTGTGAATTATAGGGCTGGGGGATCGGATATGATAATAATGGCGGCTGCATGATACTACGTACTATTATATGGGAGTTTATATGTAGGGTTTAACAAATGTTGAAATATGGAAGTTATTTATCAGGGAGTATGGTGCAAATAATAAAACTTACTCCGTATTATATTGATGACTAGGATATAACATGACTTCAGAATAGAATCTGATTGGCTATGGAGGTTAAGGTACCGGAACATCAATATTGTTTGAACTTTGAAGGCACCGTAGAAATTCCCTACTCCTTATTCGATTATTTTGTTTCTATACTTATATTACTCCGTAGAGAATAAAAGAATACTAAACACACTAAACTCGAATAGCCACTTTTTTTGGAAACCAGATCAATAAACAAACCCGATCACACCTGTACGTAAATTTCTACCCAAATTAAGAATACATAAGCTAGGATCTTTTAAAATTTTACTGAGCGTGTTACCATACGTGCTAGGGTAGTGATGGCAACGGTAGGGGTGGGATTTTGGAACCGGGAACCGTAGAACCGATTGGAACCGAACCGTTAACAACATCTAGGAACCGAACCGTTAACAATTAATTCTTATTTGTAGGAACCGAACCGAAACGAGTTATAACGGTTCGGTTCCTGGTTCCTATAAAAAATATATGCATGGAACCGTTAAGGAACCGTTATTAAAAAATTTAAAAATAAAATAATATTAGTAGTAGTAGTAGTAGTAACAATAATAATAAAATAATAGCAATAATAACCACCACCACAACAATAATAATAAAACAATATAAGATATTTAACTAACAATTCTAATTTAATCAACGAAAATGAAGTAATAAATATTGTACATGAGGTTGATATAATACATTAAACTCCTTTCTATAAATCAAGTTTTGTTCCATCACATAAATTTTATAAATACAAAATAACTCAAATAACTTGTAGTTAATTGCACATATTTTACTTCACTATTTTCATGATGTTTCTAATTATTAGATTTATTATGAATCAATAGAAGGTAACAATGTTTATATATATGAATATATCTATACATGCAAGTTCAATAGAAGTACATGCATGCATCCTGGGAATACAACTCTATTTCCTCCACACACGTTCAGTGCCTGTGCACTTCTATTGATGTTTGTAACCAAGTCCTCCCACACATCATCCCCCCAAGGATATACGTTGAATGCTTCAATATCATGGACTAACTTTATGTACTTTGCTGGTAATGGTCTAGACATTTGGTGTCCGAGTAAACCATGTGCTAGCACATAAAGCAGTGCTAACTTCAAACCATCTTCCTTTTCTATGCATGGATCACCATGGTTACGTTATAAGCTTCCAGAGCACTTATCACATCTTGTCACGCCCCGGACCTACCCGGACACGTCAACAATCCGCCGTACAGTATGAATAGTCAACCGCAGTCTAACACATCTGTTGGATAATTGATACTCATATTGTATAAACAGGAGAGATTGAACAAGAATAGAGAAGAAATGATGAAGAAGAAGGAAATGTGTATAGAATGAATATTTGTTATATCAGTTACAAGCCTCCTATAAGGAGTATATATAGGGAAAATCCGGGTCTGGGCCTCTAATATGGGCCTGACAGACCCGGTTACATAAATGGACTGATAGTATAAAAAGCTAATCTAGAACATCTGAATAATAATAATAATAATGTACAATAATATTAATGATATCCGCTAAACGTGTGTGGGCCGCTGTCCAGGCCTAGTAGTCGGCATACCGGGGGGTCGGAGTCCATATAATCCATCAGGAGTCCCCCACTCCCTGAGTCGAGAGTACTCGAGGCGAAAGGGAGTAGTCCAAACTGTATCTGCAACGTTCTTCCTCTTCGGCCGGGGGACCACCACCCTTGTCAATGATGGGGAGGTGCCTCGTTAAAAACCTTTAATAGGAAAAACCCAGTGGGAAAAAATCCTAATAAAGGGAAAAAGAGTACACCTAGCGCCCCCAACATGAAACAAGGAAGGTAAATCCCCTCTGGCATAATCAATCTAGCTCAGCTCCTCTTCAACTGACTCAGCTCTCGTTCCTGCTCTTGCGTGATATTTTCTGCTCATCTAGAAACTCAGACCCCTCAGTCTCCCAGTCCCCACTCTTTGAGGCGAGTGGAGACGAGGTGAAAATGAGTAAAGTCATCTTCGTACCTACACATTTATCATGCATATAAAATTTTTTTCTCTTGGGATTTATGTTCCCGATCGGGAGTTCGTCACTTGAAACAAGTGGAGATGTGAATTGTTAATGTAATGATAAAATACTTAGTAGAATGGATGTGTGAGCCATTCGTAAGCAACGGTCGCCACTCGAGGAATGACTAAGACCGGTCTTCATACCCGACTTGGTCGGGGTTTTGTCTTTATGCCCGACTTGGTCGGGGCTTTGTGCCTGAGGAGACAGGGCTTTGTGCCTGAGGAGTTAGGGCTTTAAATCCTAGTGATGGGTCTCAAGCCACACTCTACTAGGTATTTGATCATAAGTGCGTGATAGTGTGACATTCAACCGACAAAAAATATTGATTTAAATAAATAATATGAAAATTAAAAAGTACTTATCTTTTTAGGTGAGCTGAAATATTTGATGGGTTGAAATCCAGCCCTTTGAAAGAACTTGCCCAAAAATGGTCCGGCCCATTATTATTGGTGAGAATGTAATATTGGCTTGTATAGAAATTGCAACGAAATTGACCAAATTTGACCCAGCAATGAGTTTCGTCCGTCCCAAATGTTGAGAAATAAGCCAGACTGGATGAGCTGGATATGCCCCGTGAGGAGATAGGCGGCAACTCTTCAGTCCTGTTCCCATGGACCCATTCCATACTAGCTAATTGCAGGAGTCTTGTTGGCATGTCTCAGCCTGGCCCTTCATTTCCCACAGCTGGCATCAGATCTGGAGTAAAGCGGAAGGTCATAGGCCTGGAGATAAGGGAGGCGGCTCTTCCACCCTGTCCTCCATGATGTACGGAGAGTTAGGGATGCGCTCTGCCTCGGCCGGAAATCGATGTCACCACCCTGTTCTCACCATCATCGGTCCAAAGATGTCACCGGAACTAGTCGTCAGCCCGGAGCCTCGCTTCGTCGGACAGAGAGGGGAGACCCCCGACCACCACGCTTGAGTGGTCTTCCGCTGCGGTCGTCCGCTGCGGTCGTCGCCGGAACAGGGGAGGAAGGGAGAGCTCTAGTCGCGACTGCGAGCTTTCCTCGCGGTGGAGCTCGAGCTTGGGGCGTCCTTGACCGATCCACGCGATATGAGGTTGGTTTTGGCTCGAGGACAGAGCTTCCTAGCGGCCATTAATGGCGGACACTGTTCAATGGAGCTAGAGATGCGTGAAGCTGTTTGTCCTCGTTGACCGGTCGGTTCGGTTCTGGCCGGTTATGCATTAGATCTGGAAAAAATCTATTTTCTTTTTTGAAGAAGTGAACAACGGTGCGGTGATTCTCCGGCGGGCGAGATGGGAGCGAGCGACTGGAAGTGCTGCAACATAGCCGACCTGCTTGCTGGCGAGATGGCAGAGCCCGCTACCGGAGGCCTGGACTGGCGGCGACGCTGGTGGAACCCAGAGCGAGTTGCATGTGAGTTGTTGAAGTCCGGTGAAGGAGCTTGTACCTTGCAGCGGCTTCAGCTCAGACCCGGGGACGGGGGTGAGCTTTAGCAGGCTACAAGCCTCTGCTATGGCGTGTGCCGGTGGTGACGGTCTTTCCGGCAAGAATCTCCAGCACTTTATCGGAAATAACTAATTTTCTGATCTCTTTTGTTGCTCTTTCCAGATCTAATTCCTGACTTTTTTTTTTTAAATTTCCAGATCATTTTTGGGCTGATTTTTTTGTGATTGGAATGATTTTGGTAGTTTGGGGAGGTTTTCTCACTTGATTGTGTTCAACCTCTCAATGAAAGCACCAAATGATGGACAATCTACCCGAGGGGTATCTTATCCGAGAGGTTATTGCGGGAATAACTAGAGAGAAGTCAGAGTAAATAGGAGGAGAGAGAGTCGATTTTATTAAATGAACTCAGCGTGTGGAGATCTGGGATGTCGATCGTTTACAAGGGGAAATGGGCTGCTATTTATAGCAGCAATAAATGCGATGAGGGTACACGTGTCAGTGATCCAACGGCCGAGGGGTCACATCAGTCGGGTGGCACCGGCAGTGGTACGTTCACCGCATTGAATGCGGTTGGCGGATGTGACGTGGCATTAAATGCGGTGGTTGGCTGTCTCCAAAAGGAATCTTTGATGATCGAGCATGTTCCGCCGAAGGCTCCTTGTGTAGCCGAGGGCTCCATGTGACCAAGGACCCCTGTGTAGCCGAAGGCCTTGTGTGACCGAAGGCTTGGTTCAGCCGAAGGCTTCTCTGACACCCA